CCCCAAAACCCCAAAACCCCAAAACCCCAAAACCCCAAAACCCCAAAACCCCAATAAATTCTCAAAACTGAACTGTATAATAATATTACAATGAGAGATAAGTATGAAGAAGAAAAGCAAGATCTTGTCAAAAACTTTAAAGAGGCTTTTGATAAGAATCCTGAGCGTAAGAACTCTTAACCAAGCAAGAACCTACCAGAATAATGAGTGATTTGAGACTATCTGGGATATATTTTTATCAAATTTGGCCATATTTAGCATAACCATTTTGCTTTTCAAACAATCGATTCCATTCTCATTGAATGGCTGTTTGTGAGAAAGTTAAAATTTTAGAAAACTAAGTGAAACATTCTAAAGTTTACCTTTAGAAATCAAGAAACTGGGTCAAAAATTTACCTAATTTTTGGAAATATCAATTCCCATTTTAATCTGGTATATACAACTAGATAAAGTTTTAAGTTACTAAATAATCATTTAGTGTCCTTATTTGTGCTATAGTTGGAGATAGTAGGAAATATAAGAATCGAAATAGTATTATTACTTTATTGAGGGTACTAAATAAGATTCTTCATACTTTTCTAGGTTTACTAAAATTATATTAAAAATAGCTCTAAAAATTATATTTATACACTTTACGTTCAGATTTTTACTTCAAACAAAGATATTAATTTCCATGCCCACCATTCTATCTTAAAAATTAATAACACCCACTCAAAAAATCCGATTCTAGAAAAACCCAATTTTTCAAAATTCTAATATAAAAGTGCTCAAATAGCAATAAAATTCTTCACCTCTGCTCTCTTTTGCCTCAAAGATCCTTCTATTAGTCAAAATATATCCTGTTTTGTTCTAATTTTCTCATAAATTGACTCTAAATTTCTCACCTTATGTTGCAAATGTTACTGGCCTTTCTGGTTCACTCAAAATGCCCAATCTGGAAATTCTACTACTATCTTAAGTAATTTTTGCTTCAACCCGATTCCTACTAATTTGCAAATACATTTTACTATTTTGGAGTATTTAAGAAATTAACAATGAGAATAGAAAAGCCAAAGAAGATTAAGAATAATCTTGAGGAGAAAATGGTCATTGAGAAACGATTCCAAATTGAAGAGAAAATAGGTAGTGGTACTCATGGCCATGTCTTCAGTGGAGTAGATCTCAAAAATTGAGCATATATTGCAATGAAAATTGTCCCTCAAGAAAAACTGTCCACTTCAAGGTTCAATCAGGAAATCTTTGTAAGTCAAGTGGTTCTACTACAAGACTCATTGATATAGATAGTAAAATAAACTTTCTTCAGGGGCAAAGAGTAAAGGATTTCCCAAGTTCATACAGAAGGGACAGTGCGATAACAACAACTACTATATTATGCAGAAATTAGGGAACTCACTAAAATTGATGTCTAAACTGATCAACAAGTTCACTTTAGAAAATATTTTGATGCTATCTTTGCAGCTAATAGGGCGGCTGAGGGTGATTCATTCTTTCAATTATATCCACAGAGATATCAAGCCAGCCAACCTGATGTTTGGTACTGGCAAGGATTGGAATACACTATATGTCATAGACTTTGGGTTGTCTACAAAAGTCAGCAGTTTTAGAGACGCTGAAATACCAAAGCATATTTTTCAGCCAGAATATGTCTATCTCTCTGGGACTCCAAACTATGCTAGCATTAACCAGCACTGAGGGTGGGAAGAGTGATTCAAAAAGGATGATATAGAAGGAGCAATGTACATGCTAATTCATCTTCTCAAAGGTAAGCCTTGGTGGATACTCATAATTACACATTTATAGGATCACTCCCATGGGAAAACATCAAAGAAGATGACAGATTTTATACGTATTTTTGGAAAATTTAACTTTAGGATGATGAAAAAGAAACAGCTTGTCACCACAGAAGAACTTTGTGGGGAAATGCCAGAACGTCTTATTGAGATGGTAGAATATATCCGGAGTATGCGAATTTATGATCAGCCCGATTATTCTTTTATTAGTGACATTATTTTGAAAACCGCTTGTGAAGAAAATATCACCCTTCATTTGGTAGAATCTGTAAGCTTTAGAATAACCCTTTAGTTTCATAAATTTAAATGGGATTTCAAATAAAGGCAAAGAGAAATTCCACACCAATGTTGTAAAAGAGCCAATATGAGGTTATCTCGGAGCTGAAAGGCCGGTCTCTCAACCTCCTATTCAAAAATTCAAATTTGTTTCTAATTACGAAGCAAATAAGGCTCCTCTAAAGCTAGAGGTAAAACTAATCTCTTATACCATAGCGAAATAAGGCCAGGGAAAAGTTGTTGGCTAATATTAAAAGCAAAAGTAAAATCTCTACTGAAAAAGAGCCTGGTATTAATCCTCCTAAAAAGATTAAACAATCGAAGAAATTTCACAGATCCATCACCACTAAAAGGATCCGTCACATTAAGTTCAACTGGTGAGCTGATGAAATCATGGAGGCGATGCATGAAAATAGGCTGTGTGTGAAAGACAGCTATATGAAGAAGAGTAAATCTCCATCTTGCAATGTCAAACGTACTTATTTCCTCTAAAACTTATAGCTAATTACTTTGAGCTGAAGAGCTTTATGTCTGCAAAACCAGAGAACAACAAGCATGAAGGTAAGTATCCTTAATATTGTCCCGAGTTGAGGTTTCTCTAGACCAGAAGTCTGAAGATCAGCCTAAAGTTGACCTTAAGGTCACTCCAACTTTCTTGGAATTTGAAGCTCTTGATAAAGATGAGTTCTCAAGCGACCAAAGGTAAGTTAAAGGGCTAAATTTATAGAGGGATTTCTTTAAGAAAGCCAAAGATGTTTGGCCATAATCATAATAATTTGAAAAGAGTGTGAGCCAGGATGGACTATGAACACCAAGCTGCTCGGATACAAAGCATGATGCAATAGATGATGTGTATATATCATATAATATCTCTATCTCTTAAGATCAGTAAAAATTAAATATACTCTCCTTGTCATAATTGTAACCCTTTACCTTTCCTTAACCTGAGCCTCACGATTCATTCCCATATATTTGCACAAAGTATCACTTTTCGGCTATCCTGTTCTTTATTCTTTAATACTGATTCCTTATAAATATTCACCAATAGGTCCCAAATTATTTAATATTGTATTTCAATAGAGAATAACCCCTTGGGGTTTTGGGGTTTTGGGGTTTTGGGGTTTTGGGG